ACACACACACACACACACACACACACACACACACACACACACACACACACACACACACACACATAAAGTGGCATCTTTCTCAAATTCAGTGTCTGTTCTATATCTCATGTCAGTAAGCATCATGGTAGCAAAGCATCATGATGATCACATGATCTACAAATTGTCATATTTTTAACATCCACGTCATCAAGGAAAGAGAAATGAGTACCATGGCAATGCTAAGATATGTCAAGAGCAGGAGTTTTAGATATTAATATCAGCTTTAGGTTATATTGTGTCTCAAACAGCTCTACACTAGCAGAAACTACATTTATTTTATCCAAATTATCTTTAAAATGAACTTAAATTTCAAATGAGCTTAAATTTTTATAATTTCAAATGAGCTTAAATTTCAGACTATGTAGTATTTCAGGATCTTTCAGCCTCTCTGACAGGTTCCATCTGTTCCAAAGATAAAATATTAGCACTAAGTGGATCTATTTAGTGACATCAAAGTCATCACAGCAACATAACTGACCCGGACCTCCAGCCTGTTTTCTCTCAAAGGGATTTCCGAGCTGCTGGCTGGGAATGTGAGGTCAGAGGTTAACATGATGAAGATTAAATGGTTCCAAAAAGAGGTGTTTATTTGCACCAACCGATGGGAGGCAGGTTGATTTTGAACTGTAATGAACTTTGCAATAATTGTACACTTCTTATGGGTATTGAGGCAGAAACCCTCATTAATCTCAAAGGCATTTCTGCTTTTAAGTTGGATTAATGCCACTGACCTGAATGGGGTGAATCATAGTGCTTTTTCTTGGATGCCAAATTGTAGCTTCTGTCAGTAAAGTACGCTCAAGAGGTCAGTGTTAATGATACGACATTATCCCATCAGTACGTACCATCATAAACACCAAACTTGAAATTAGGGTAAAACTACATATTTTTCCAATCAAATAGCTGATTGGTTGTCTGAACAACGTGACGACAAATGAAAACCCTGTATAATTAGGATGGTTTTGGTTCACCTGACCTCGATTAATGATTCTTAAAGGGTCTTTATACAAGATGCATTCTTGGGTTCAAAAACAGGTGAAGAAAAACGGAACAGACTGAATGCAGAGTCTCAAGATGCACTCTGGTCAATTAAGATGAGCTATTGTATTTATACCTTGACATGCCATCTTACAAATGCAGGCGGGACATTTGTGAGATGTAACGTGTTGGCAAAAGACTTACAAAGATATACGGCTGAATGCACATGGATGTACCAGAGAATGAATTTAAAAATACAACTATCAAAAGAGGGTTTTACTAAACAGCAAAACAGCACTGTTGCTAAAAGTATTAAAAATATAATATACAGTACCGTTCAAAAATGTACGGTCAGTAAGTTTTTTTTCTTTTAAGAAATTAACTTTTATTCAGCAAGGATGCATTCAATTGGTAAAAAGTAACATTGTAAAGATATTTCAGATTTCTGTTTCAAATAAATGCTGTTCTTTTGAACTTTCTATTCAACAAAGAATCCTAAAAAATATATCATAGCTTCCAGTAATATACTGAGCAGCACAACTGTTTTCAACATTGATAATAATAAGAAATGTTACGTGATTTTAAACTGCAATACCGTTTCACAATATTAGTATTTTTTGATCACATAAATGCAGCCTTAAGAGACTTCACTTAAAAACATTTTTAAAAAATCGTACATTTACATTTACATTTACATTTAGTCATTTTGCAGACGCTTTTATCCAAAGCGACTTACAATTTGGGGATACATAAAGCGATTCTTCTTAAAGAGGCAAACAGATACAGGAAGTGCTTGTAATACCAAGTTTCTAGACATTGTTCAAATAAGTACAAGCTAGAAAGAGAAGGAATAAATAAAGAGAGAGAATTTTTTAAATTTTTTTATAATGATGATGATGAAGTCAAGTAGCTTCGAAAGAGATGAGTTTTCAGCTGTCGCTTGAAAATTGTCAGGGATTCAGCATTCCGGATAGGCTTAGTCTAATCATTGCTGGACAAATAGTCGACCATAATGACACATATTTTAATTCATATTACACTGAATTTTCTTGAAAGGACTTTAGACAGCCCTAATATTATAAGTCACAATTTCTGTTCTATAGGTATATCGATACGTACAGACCCCAAACTTTTGAATGGTGAATCTATGGATCTATGAAATCTATACATCTAAAACCTATAAAACTAGACAACCTTACTAAACGCACAGTTTTTAAGTAGACGAGACTAGAATGTAGTTAAAAGAACAAAAACGTAACCAAAACCTTTTTATTTTTGTTGAAAAAGTGGAGCCAAAACATTTCAGACTGCAAGACATGCGAGCGTTCATGTTTGCGGTTACCAGATATCAAGAGATCAAATCTCCCTATCAGAGCTTTTCTGTTAAACGGATATGTATGCTTCCCGGCTTTTTGCTTTATGCAATCTGGCAACCATTCACACACTCTCTCTGTGGAGGCGCCACGATATGAAAACACTGCCATATAGTACTGTACAAGTAAGCTGGAGTTCAGTGATCTCCATTTGAGGTATTCTGCTTAAATGAAAGTGTCATTCAACCAGTCTGTGTTCTGTCATAGATCTCGACTATATTGTTTGCGATAGTGGTTGCTGATTGTAACGTTATTTACACAACCTCTGTGCGGCAATAAGTTTTTTTTTTTTTTTTTTTTGCCATTGTTTTAAAAGAGAAACAATAATGCAATTTGGAATTACTATTAGGAATTTCTCTGTTATAATATTTGAGAGTAGGTTTTTGTTATGCCAGTTTTCATAATGTAGACAGGGCGAGTGTATATGTAAAGTCTTCGGTGTTTATTTAGCCTCTAATTGATATCCTGTTATAAATCTGTACACTAACGTTAGAAGAGGTGAAATAAACCATGCATACGAGCAATCATTGCAAATTAAAATTGAGCAAAATAATATATTTTTATCATTTTAACCATTATACAGTAAGACGAATATATGACGAAAATGTGTAAGTTAACAATGATTAAAACTAGACTAAAATGCTCAGACATTTTCCCCCAGTTTCTAGACAAGGCTTAAGCCTAGTCCTAAACTAAAATGTAAATCTGAGCTGTTTCAACTGAAAGAAACTTGCAACGGGCCTTAGTCGACTAAAACTGGACTAAAACTAAAACAGGACAAGTTGACTAAATATGATCAAAACTAAAAGTTACATTTAACACAGGACTAAGACTAAGACTAGATTAAAAATAGCTGACAAAATAAAAATTATTGAGCACCAAATCAGCATATTAGAATGATCATGTGACACTGAAGACCAGAGTAATAGTTGCTGAAAAACAGCTTTGCTGTTACAGGAATAATTTTTTACAATTTTAAATATTTTAAAACAGGAAACATTAAGTTTTAAAATGTACAGTAATTTTATTGTTTTTATCTGTAGTTTTAGAAAATGCAGCCTTAATCGATATAAAATTGGAATTATTCCAAACTTTTCACCAGTAGTGTATTTGTATGTATTTGTTAATTTGTATAAATTATTAGATTTTTTCTTCTATATGTAAGAAGACTGGATTTATAAGAAATATATTATATAAAGATATATTATTACATGAAAAGTGCCATTATTTATGAGAAATGTTTAAAATCATGTGATAAAAACCCGTCTTATCAGCAGCCCAATAAAAGCTGTTTTATTGCACATGGAACAGGTCGCCTCAAGGGGACTGACATGTTGAGATCACATGACCAGCTGAATAATACTCCTTCCTTTCCTGGACACTTCCATCTGTGGAATAAATTAATCATGGCTCACTCTGAGCATTTATACAATGTCATTGGTAACTGAAAACGTTTGCTTTTCCATGATTCAGCATCCACTGGACTGTGTCAAAACAAGGCAAATTTGGCCACATCAGCCAGTGCAACAAACACCTTTAAAAGCTGAAATATGGGCCAAAATATTTTGCTTCTGTTTAGATGTACATGCCAACACTTTATACTTTTTCAGCATTTATTCAAAAAATGTTTTCTGACAGTATCAAACAACATCTTGTTCCCACACATGTGCTAGAACTTTCCATATCCCCATTTGCATTGAAAACACTGACAGTAAAGCTTCTGCGAGCAGGTGCAATACCTGTAGGCATTTTTGGATGCAGGCCGAGGGTCAAACTTCAAGAAGATGATGCACATGAGGAGGTTACTGATGGCAGGAGTTTTCAATCACAGTGAGGTCAGAGGTCAGAGCTGGGACATGCTATGTGCTAGAAGAAGAGATGAAAGAGAGAATGAATTTTGGATAAGAGGAGACAAAAGCTGTGCTTGTAAGCCAGAGGACAACCTTGAAAGGGGATCAATCAAACTATTCCAGCAACAGTTCTTACTTTTATCTAACAAAATCTCAATCTGAAGATAAAATAAAATGGTAATCGAATAGAAAGATAGTGCAGCTAATAATATTTCAGACTACATGGTAACACTACAATCATGATCTCCTATTTCTTACAAAACATATTGTGCCGAACAGCGATGGAGAGATGAAATACACATTTGTTTTGATGTGAAAGTAATCGATATTGTATAACATAGTAGAATCCAGCCCCTGTACACTGAAAACATCTTGGCTTATAAACACAGTCACGTCACAAATCATATCCTCCACTTTTTTGGGGGCATAATCTGACAGTTAGTGTTCAGATAAATAGCCAGTAGGTAACAATAAGCGTTTTAAGATAATATTATGTGTATAAATGTATTCCATTAGACATAGATTAACTTTAAACTTCGATCTTTGTTCCCCAGTGTGCTGTATTCATAGAGAACGATCCAGTAGGTTTAAAGTCAGGCTTATGTCAACTGAGACAAACCGTCTGTCTGACAGCAGGCTAGCAGTAGCCTCAGCTTGCTAACTGGTCGTAAGACTTGAAGACAGCGGACAAAAACGAATACAATTTCGAGCTTGTTTTCTTTTTAGTTTATAACAGGTTATGTGATATATTACTTACAGATCCATGTGTTGTCAATGATCACAATTCATTGTGCCGCTACTATGAGAGGCAACTTAGAGAGCACAGGCTAATACACTGCACAAAGGGCTAAACCTAAACCAACCTCGCATTGACGTCTGCAGAGAAGTCCGGCGCGGATTGGCTGAAACTGGATCTGAAAGCGAGGACAGGACCGCCCACAGAATTGCAACTGTTCACAAAACAGCGTTTATTTGGCCTTTCAAACATAATTACATTTAGAAGTTAAAAGAAACTGAACCCGGATCAAAATCCTAATCTCGCGCGCTTGTTGTCACCTGTTAACTGTTGTAAAAAAAAATAAAAAAAAAAGGAATCGTGAGTTTCTGGACTGTTCTAATTATTATTTATTAATAAATGTCCAAATAATATTCCATATTATTAAATGAATTCATATTGATTCAATAAAGATTCCATTGATAAAAGACAGATATAGACAGATATTATAAATAATATAATCAGCTGTTATATTGGAACAAGAATGCAATTAGTTTACAATTTTTTGTCATCGATTTGAATTGCAACACACTGTTTAGCATTAATCATAATGTTATGAATCTGATTATGATGGAAGAGATATTTGTTGACAGTGATTTAACCAATGAAAATGTTGTTTTTCTTCGATCAAAGGTATTCACCAATAAACAGGGGTGTCTTTAATTGTATTTCAAACAATACTGATAATACTCTCAAATAATACTATACTCTTTTATTATATTGCCAATGATATTACAACAGCCTCTCAGGTGTGGTCAAAACATATAGAATAACAAACCAACCTATAGGAGTAAGCTGCCTTATTATCATATTGGAAGTAGAAAAAAATGCTATTTGTAGATAAGTAATAATTAGTGAAGTAATATAAATATAAATAAATATATGCACATTTGATTATTTTTCACTTTATTAATTAATTTAATTATATTGATTTTGCAGTTTTGCCTGTTCAATATAGGCTACATGGATTTGTCTATTTAAAAACGTTGCAAACTTGCAATATGTCTGTAGAGTGTTGTACCAGAGAGATACAGCGCTGTAGGCTATATCAGCGCACTTGTAACGTTAGTAGTGTGCAAGCCAGCCTCGGAAAAATCCAATGACACTGAGAGGGTTTATGTTGTCTACATGGAAAGCATCGTAGCATTTTACAAGTCCCTTATATACATTTAAACTGAGGCATTTCCTTTGAATAATCACACGGCTGATTTGAAAAAGTAAGCAGTGAGTTTTCTCGCAGAGATGCATGAAGCTAATCGTGGAATCATCTGCTGATACTGTTGAAGTTAAACGAGTGAACGAGTGCGCTGCTGCTGCTGCTGCTGTCCCTTCAACTCACTCACAGAAAGAAGACGGGTAAGATTACTCGTTCTTCTTCGCCGCTATATCCTTTATCTACGATCATTTAAACTCGCCATTTAGAAATACAACCCCAAAAGGCTAAATGTGTACTACTGCATTCGCTTTCACGCGTATCTCAACTGATCGAGTGATTCGCGTATTTACTGTCTTTCAATTGAGAGCAGTTGCTTGGCCGTAGTTACAGATACATTTTTTGCTTTAGTGCGTTTGTAGATATCTCATCATGAGCCGTTGCTTTCAAGCATTTGAAAATGTATCACTTGTCTACAATTGATATCAACGTTGTTTTGAGGCAGCGCTTCATGCTTGATAGTAACACGCGCGCACAAAGAGCTGCTAGTGAAATGCAGCCCTTTAATTAATTTGACCGTGAACGTTTTGATTGTGATTATGATGCAGAAGGAAGCGTTTGTCAGTGTCCTTACACCCAGAACAGCAAATGAAGGGGATTATTTGGAATAATGCGCACAAATTTGAATGAAGTGTTTGTGATTTGGTTACTCATGAGAACTGGCTTCGGCATCTGTCAGAAAGGGGCATCTTGGTGTTAATGCATATGGTGTGATTTCAGTTATGGCAAAGATACTATGCTACTGGCAGAGTTGGTCTTGTTATATTTCATGCATCAAGTAGAGTAGTCACGATCTTTTATAACTGCTTTTTATTTTAATGTTTATTGGGACTTGTCTGGGCAAGTGTTTTCTTTGGGGAGCATCCTGTTTGATTGAAAATGTACGTTTTGGCACATCCACTGACTGAATCACAGCAGGTCTACATTACTGTAGCGATTTAAAATATGTGTTGCTGCTGGAGTTCATCAGATGTCTTTTTTCGTTTTTACATTTACGTGACATTGTTACCCAGGGTCATTCTTAACCCTAAATAAACGTAACCATGGGTTTTTCCACGCGGTTCACACTTCAACCTGTATTAGTAATTAATCATGGGTAGCCATGTTTCAAAAATTCACACTGTACTGTACATTTGTAAACAGTGGGAGAACGTTATTATTTGCATATACATGACGTCAGTAACGCTGATTGGACGAAAAAGTTGTGCGAAGTTCACGCACGACGTGCACGCCACTTGTTTTGGTAACGTGCGTTTGGTAAAAATGTGAAATCTAGACGCTGAATCTAAACAGCATTTGGAAGCAACTGTACAGACTACAGAACGCATAAATGTTTAATGAGGTAAGCGCTGTTTAGTTTATGATTGGATGGACTTGCTAAAAACTCACTGTAACCCAGTGTATTTCGCACTGTACAGGCTACTCTTGACACTGCAATTCGATGCTAAACATACTCATGGTATTCGATTCATACCCCTGTGTTACGGCCTTTTCGCACCAAGAACGATACAATAATTATAAAAATAAGTATACCAGAAGTTGTTGTTTGTAATACGTAACAGTTAATGTATATAATAAAAGCGCGCTAACGTCATTGGATTGGCTTTCAGTGTTTTTTTAATCGTTCATCAGCTAAAAAAAATCGCTCTGGAAGTGATTCCAACTGTATCGTTCCTTTTTAAAGTGGTTAAGTGCAGTGTGAAAGCCAAATTACAGTATGAAAACATACCTGACTGGGGTGAGATGTTATGTAGTGTGATGGGCATTTGCAGTATCTTATAAATGAATATAAATAACGGTCATTGTCAATTATTAGGTTATACTTTTTTGGGATAAGTTTCTGTCTAAAGAGATACTTTAATTTAATAAGCCGTGTGCAAATCAGACTAATATGTGAGGTGAGCATGCATCATGTCCCTTCACCCTTTAATTAGGCCTGATGTATAACTGCGCAACCATCTTTTGCATGTTGCATAATTAATACTCATCTTTGACTTTAAAGTGTGCATGTAAATCTTATTTACTAGCTGTAATATTTCATTGGCAAGGCTCAGTGTCGTATTGATGACATGTTAACATAATTCTCTGATATATAGCTCAGGGCGTTTTTTGGTATTTTCGCCTAAATTTAACATACTCAAATTCAAATGTTTACCCTGTCTCTGTTCTTTAAAACTCTCTTACCCCAGCTGAGATGGGGAGCTTGTTAAATTAGGCAGCCCTGTCATTCATGACACATTGAGTAGCTTTGCTCGTCAGGAGAATTTCAGCTCTATGCAAAGAGCTACCCTTTGTTCCATTTTATAATTTAAATAAGTTGTACATGTTTTTGAAAACTTAGTTTTAATCTGATTCAAGGATGGATGCCTCTTTAATCAGGAGGAGACTTTGGTGCCTTTATATAGATTAATTCATAAAACAACAAAACAGTGTTGCAAAGCAGGCCGGTGGGGAGCATACTATATGCATTTGTTTTTAGGGATGTATCGGGCCCGATACTGAGCTCCTGTACTCGTACTCGTTAAAATGCCCCGATACCAAACGCCGATACCCCACAGCATGTGAAAAGTGCCATATTCAGACAAAGAAACACCAACAACAGACAGCAGGATGGAGTTATTAGAGATTAAGGATGTCTACAAAGTATATGTATGCAATGAATATAACGTTAAACATTCAGTATTAACGCCTGTAT